ATCCTGAAAAGAAATAGCCATTTGTTATGTATGGAGGGTGTTTTGATAAAACTGTCTTGAGCAATGGCAGACAAGAAGGCTGTGCTGCTGAAAAATGTTACTGTTGTCTGCTCAAAGCTGGGTTTAAATATTGACCAGCTGCATAGGAAATAGCGTCAGATTTGGCAACAGCATGAAAAATAGGCACTGAGAAACCAGCACATTTCTCTGCATCCTAATGCTTTCAATTCCCAGAGATACCAAAGTGAATATCTAACATCTGACATTTCATGGAAGAAAAGGAAAAAAGCTGTTTATATCAGAAGTTTGAGATTTCCTCGCTAGGGAACTGCAGACTGCTCAGATAAAGGATGCTTGAGCCTGGTTGATATTTTCTACCAAACAATGGTACTCTTTCCAAAAGTGATCTCGAGATACTTGCTGTTGGTTTTACCAGTCTTCTGGAACAAAACCTCCAGCTAGAAGTTGCGTCCCAGAACACTCCCAAGTGCTTCAGAGCTGCAGTGAGCACGACTGGACAAGAGGTGGGCAGAGACAAGTGTTTCTCTTTTTCCTCTGTGCCTGCTGCAATGGAAAAACCAGCTTTTATCCAGCCTGCAAGACCATCAAGAATGTCACCGGTTAGGCTTCGGAGCCTCTTTTGTCAAACGCATGGCTGCATCACAGGCATCACATGGAACTTGATGAATTTTTCATGCCACAATTAATCAAATTTCAGCAGACAATTTTCTTCACTGGCGTGCTTCCCACCTCCCTGGGGCATTTCATCCGTCACAGACGAATGGGATGGGGATTTGGGGAGGTGTTAGTGGGGTGGCTTTTCTCAGAGCCATCAAACTGTGTGTGCACATGTGTGTCAGGTCGGGAATTTTTGACAGTCTCCTGGGAAGGATATGGAACTCTCTGGAGGGAAACTCCTTCTCCAGGTATACAGGCAATTACTTCTTTTGATGTTCTTTGGGAGCTAATGATTTAATTGTGGCAGGCATTGCTTTTACCATGCATAGAGATAGCTCAAGAAATGGAAATAAACTAGTGAAAAGAAAGATGACATAAAATGAAGGTTAATAAAATACACTATTTACCCTATAAATACTAAAACAAGAAAAACACTTATGTGTGAGAGAGATTATTAAAGTACTCATAAATCAAAGCAGCACAACAGCAAAGGGAAGAAAAATGAGGCATTTAGTTCTCACCTTATGTATATTATATTATATTCCCTCCCAGGTTTTATAAACAGAGTATATTAAAAAAATAGACTAGCTATGCTTCTGATACATGATAAGCATGAAGATGAAATTGTAATCAAAAGACTTCAAATCAAACTAAATTCTTTCTTTCTTTATTCTTTTCCTTCGAGCACTACTAACGTCATAAAAGTTTAAAAAAAAAGTTGAGAAGTTGAAAAGTTTCGACTTGAAACCCTCGTAGAAAAGAAGCATTCATGGTATCTTTTTCAGAGGCTGGAAACCTTATGCTTGGAACGATTTCTGCTCTGGAATGTCTGTAATATATTGAAGCCTTAAGACCTTGCTAATTGGTACCTTACTAATTAGCCCGTGACAAGAATTTTAATTAGAGGCACAGTAGGTGTTCTCCCTACCTGCAGTGGAGGAGCTATTTCCTGCAGAGAAAAGGGAAGGGAAAAAGATAGTGGAAGGGATCAATAGAACACAAATATAATCTAATCTCTACTACGGGAAGAGTGTACATTAATTAATATTTTTCAAAATTACGTCTCTGATAATTTATTGTGTTTTGTAAAGTACATTAAAGTTCACTTTGTGATTTGCTCTTTTCCCCTGTAGAACAAAGTGCACTTTTTTTTTTCCTGTGACTTGACGTGTGTTATAAGCAAAATGAGAAACATTGGAACAGACTGTAGTCAGTGATACTCACGGCCAGCCCCAGGGACTGAGCTGAGCACATCCCAAAGCGTGAGTCTCTGCAATCTGAGTGAAGGAGCTGAGCCGTGTGTCCGTGAGCTGAATCAAGGTGAACGAGGCTCAAAAGGGAGATCCCCAACACCCGTGACCAATGGCATTAATTGAGCCTGAGTTGTAGCACGTTCTAGAGTTAAAAATGCATACGAAAAGCTTGGAAGACACGGTTGAGTGAATTCCCATCAATGGCGACTCAATGATAACAATATTGATGAGCATCATCTATCATTTTTCTTCTGTCAGGGAAAGATGCGAAGGAGGAATGGAAGATACCTATCTGAAAATACTGCCACTGCTAATGTTTTCGTTAGCTTAATGGCACATACCCCATCGCAGAGGATTTTAGAGTTGTCATTTGGGATGAAGGATATTTTAAAATCTGTAAAATACGTAGTGCAATGAGAGTCTTAAAAATATAAATACAAAGTCACTTCCCTCCCCAAGGAAGCCTGAGGTGTGTGTGTATAAATATAAAGTTATTTGTCAGGCCTGGTAATCCCCATAAGCCCCAGCAGTGAAAAGGGTGATTCAGTTTCAGTAGATAATGGGACATTCTGAAAAATGATGATCGGGTCTAGGGAACATTTTATATAAGGAGATATAAATGTCAATAAAAGTAAGGGGAGGATGAATTGCAGAGAAGGGAAAACGAGTTAGTGATTTTTACCCCACTGAAAGGACACTTCAGGAATGAGCGCTCTGAAGGAAGTGGAGAACTTGCTGTACAATTTACATTATTTGAAAAATACCTTTTTTTTCTTAATTTTGACTGGGAAAATTCTTTTGCATGGTGAATAAGGTCACAGGTGAGCCACGTTCCGGTGGATGCTCTGTAGATATTTAAAAGCAATAGCTAAGGAATATTTTTATCCAAGAGGCAGTAGGAGGGAAGGGAGAATAAAGCTACACCTCTTTTGTTTTCGATAAAGTTTGCAGTGATCACTGCGACCAGTGATTATTTCACGAATGGTAGAGAACATTGGTGGAATGAAAACAGCAAATTAATACAGAGAAAAATCTGTAAGATTTAAGTGGAAATTGTGTCAAGAAATTGAAAGAAGATGATGTAATCCTTGTGTCAAAATCAAAATAACCCAATCTCAGTCTATTAATAGGAACAATATCTAGTCTGAAAACCAGTTGCACATTGTTTGTAGAATAATTCTGGATATAGGAGAAGTCAGAGAAAATTATGATGGCCTGTGACCCATTCTACAGATAATAAAAGTTAATCTAAAATTATATTTTGCTCTGAAATACTGACTCAACTGCCCTGCCTGGTAAAAACTGCTGTCTTTTCAAAGGACTTTATTAACCCACCTGTCCTATGAGATCTGGTCATTTACCATGGCAAATTTGTCTCCTACTATGAGTTCCATCAGAAACAGAAAGGCGTGAGGAATTCAAGCTGGGGTTAGTGTGATTACATCGTTTTTCGTCTGTTATGGGCAGAGATTTAAGGCTAATCCAAGTACAAAAGATATTACTACTTGCTGTCTAATTAGGATGCAGGTTGGGTCTGTCATATCTTGAGGTCTGTCTCGTTTTGCAGGTAGGTGTGAGTCTTCCCTGACACCTCTAAGCTAGCGAGACACCCGCTACCTCCAGGTCAGAGGCTGTGTGGCCACTTCTGTGAAGCACTGTACTGAAAGCTGTTATCTCTGCAGGAAGGCAGGATCTATGAGCTCAGATTTAATGCCATACTACACACATCTGTATCACTCCTGGCCAAATTAAAGCATAAGGGTGAACTTGAGTATCCCTACAAACAGGCTGGAACCAAACCCTTTCTCTGCTTCCTGGTGGGACCACTGCTCACATCACAAAATGTCCACCATAGATAGCACTTTAGCGGAGCCTTTGTCAGTATTCTGAGAATTGAATAGGCTATTTGGAAAGGCAGTTGTAATGTACCACCACTTCATTTGAACAGTGCATTTTGGAAGGAAAACAAAAAAACCTCCAAAACAACAAAACACCTCTTATGTGATTGCCTTTCTCCAAGAAATAAAAGAAAACTGGTTTTCTATCCCGAGTCCTTTGGTGATGACAGACTTCTGCATCCAGTACTTTTATCCTTCCTTTTATACACATATGTGGGTTTGCTATGGGATACGGTGGAATATTTTGGATTGCAGACCTCTACAGAGCATCTCCTTTATATCCCGGGTGGTCCAGTGTTATTTTACACAGTCTAGTTGAGAGAAGGATGTAGGTTAAAATTCAGATCAGAAGCCCTAACCAGCCTTGGCAAGGAGGACAGGATATTGGTTTGCTAGTGATTGCCCATAGGAAGTGGGGATGCTGACACTGTTTTCATTTTTGGAGTGCTGCTAAAGATGTTTATCTTTACTCTGGAGGCTTTAGTCTTTTACGATTTGAATGCTGGCTGTGAAGGAAGCTCACTCTTTTCTCTATGCTCTATCCAGCAGTAACGCTCTTCAGAATATTCTGAAGATTTTTGTATGTGAAAATTGAAGGAAAATATGTTCTTACTTCTGAGCTTTTTACTGGAACTCATTTAATCTGTCTTGAATTTGAATGAATATTGGGAGTGTATTTGCTTGAGTAAATAGAGGGTATTATGTTGTGGAGTAGGGATTTAGTTGCTGTTGTGTTATTTTTTTGTCTCTTCCACCCAGAATTGGCTAGAAAGGCATTTTCTAAACTGTAAAATAATATCAGAATCTTTTATGATTTCTTCTCTCTTACATAATTTAAACTGAAGATTCCTTATTTAAAAAAACCTAAAATGAATTTCAGAGCTTGTGTTATGTAAGTCAGTTAGTTACATCAAGCAGAAAAACTGAACATTGCCTGTGGGAGAGAGAGGGGGGGAAACAAATGCTTGAAAGCAGAGTCTAGGGAATGGAGAACAATTTGGGGACCAGCTTCTCTGCAAACCATGCCACAGAGAGGTTGGCAAAAGGCGTTGGGTACGCGTGGAGCACCAGTCAACCTCAAAGGTTCTCTGGGATCAATTATGGATGCTTATGTACGTATGTCCAGTCTGGGGAAAATGTTCAATATTTTCACACCATTTTGTCTTCCAGAATGATTGAAGATTGTGGGAAAAGAGGAAATACCATGGCAGAAAGAAGGCAGCTGTTTGCAGAAATGCGTAAGTACTTCCTAGAAGTGTTTCGCTGTGATAGACCAAGCCAGTTGCAATGCAGTGTAGATAAAATTTGTGCAAGCTTTCCACCTCAGGTAACTGATATCTCCATTTCACAAATGGTTTAATATCATGAGACCAAAACTACAGGAAAATGGGCTGATTTGACCAAATAGCAGGAGAGGGGAATTTTCTACATCAGATGTTGTGATTGTATTATTTTAATCAGTAGCTTCTTGAGACAAAAATGCTCAGGTAGCTTTTCTACAGAAGTTATTTGACAATACACATGTAGCAGTGAAGAGGGATAAAGGTCTCTAAAGACTGCATCTTTTAGTGGGAGTATCTGTAGTGGGTTGACCCCAGCCAGCTGCTAGGCACCCACACAACCGCTTGCTTAATCCCCAAACAGCCCCCAGCAGGAGGGGAGAGAATGTAGAGAGACTTAAAGCAAGAAAAGTCATGGATTGGGATGAAGACAGTTGATTAAGTGACAGAAAGAGAGGAAAAGAAATTACCACAAAACCCAACAACAAGTGATGCAAAGATGGTCACTCACCACCTCCCAAAAGCAGATCCGCCAAGAGCAGATGCCCAGCCAGTCCCCAAGCAAAGTCCACCTTGGAAGACAGAACTCCCCACCCATTTCTTT